GAGGTTTTGAATAGAGCGAGCCCTTGTCACTGTCTGCACGGCAGCCGGTACAGAAGATGTTGTATAACCAGATTTAAAGCCCTTGCAAGACCTCGGGGTGGCACATTTTTAGAAAGTGTCATTCAGTTGAGTAAAGCCTGATCGTTCACCCGTAAGTGGGTTTTTCGGAGTCTGTGCTCAAATGTTACTTGTGTAAAGCTGCACATTATTGTTACGCCTCAGTTTGTGACGCACAGACTCAAGAGTTGTCCTTGAATGATCTACCACATGTAAGCTTTACTATTTGTAACCCTGAGTTCAAGGAAGACAATGATGGAGGTAATACGAGGTTTATTAGATACATACAAAGATAATAGCCAACGTGCTAAACAGCGTGCAAACATAACACAAACAAAGAACTGAACACAAGCAGGAACTTAAATACAGAGATGATTTAAGACGAACAGCTGTGAAGATGAGTGTCATAGTGTCCATGGTGACTGATGAGTGGCGAGGGAAAACCAAAACAAACTGAACATGACGGTGACACTATTCTAGTCCATGCTCAGATTTATGTCTCAAGGTTTTTTAAGGTTTGGCAGCACATACGTATTACTGAAGACAACTTTAAAAATCCATACAACGTCTGCACTGCTTCTGCATCTGAATGTTATTTATAGGTCTTTTATGTTGTACGTTTACATCACATGAAACTCAATGTGAGTCTCAGGAGCTGTTCTCTGTTTTAAACATGCTGCTTTTTAAGGCAGGAAGTCTCTGAATGTATATGGGAGACCCTCAGGTGTCAGAATTCCTTTCAGCAATGTCATACTTCTGAGTGTGATTAGCACAAGCCCAAGCGAAGCTCAAATGTGAGAAACTGTCACATTTTCCCCGTGAGACAAAGACGAAGTGAAAATGTAGACAATGAAGGCGGAGACTGTGGTTTCGGGCACTGCTGTTGTTAGTTGATGAGAAGGAGTCTGGTTGTTTTTGGTAGGTGACCACTTCCTCCGTAACGCACATTGCCCTGGGTCTTGACCTCTTTTTCTTCTCAAGGTAGTTTCTATGTAGTATAATTTTTTCTTTTCAATTCTTCTTCCAAGGAACAACAAATTAAACACAGAATATTCATTTTTCCATCACCATTTAATTTAAATTGCATGCTAAAATCAGTTGAAAATAAAATGCTAAAAACTAGTGAATTTAGGTATCACATTATAAAGTACAGTATGAAAAATGGATGTTCATTTTCCAATTTGTTAAAGATTACATTTAAGGGTGCATTCAGTTGTTCTTTAGCAAACATCAACATCACTGTTCTTCTACTTAAAGTACCGAGACCACACTGTTAGATGCTGCACTGCTATATATTGACATGGAGCATCACTGTGTTTTGTGTAAATTACACTGAGTTTTAGAGAGGTCCACAATAATATATTCCCTTATCTGTCCAAAAAAAAAAAAAAAAAGCAAAAAGCAAATTCTTGGGCATTTTCAGCATCATAAAATCTTTCCACCTTATGTATACGTATACGTATACGTATATCAGTGTGTATGCTATAGCTTTTTGTCTGTGTGTATGCTATAGCTTTTTGTCTTTGTCGAACTTTGTCTTCTGGACCTTTTCTGCATCTTTGGCCATACAGGTACTGATTCTCCCATTGTCTCCGCTGGTCAAGAAAGCATGCGTGTGTTTCATTGTCTAATCTTCACTCTTCACGTCACCAAACTATGCTATGCTACTAGCATGTCTACAGAGGTGGCAGCCAATGAGCCAGTGAGTGTCCGTTTAGTGAAACATCGCAGATCACGTCATTTTAACATGGCGAAATACACTAAGAGGGGGACCCGCACCATATATAATTAAAACGCATTTTTATAGAACACTATTATGAGAATAGTCTCATGTAGTCTAACCAGCAGCCAGGCTTCTGATTAGTCTAACCAGCAGCCATATCACCCTGTAGCCCAAGACTGGTTGCCCACTGAAGCTAAGCAGGGTTGAGCCTGGTTAGTACCTGGATGGGAGACCTTCTGAGAAAACCAGGTTTCTGCTGGAAGAGGTGTTAGTGAGGCCAGCAGGGGGCGCTCACCCTGTGGTCTGTGTGGGTCCTAACGCCCCAGTGTAGTGACGGGGACACTATACTGTCAAATACGGTCTCCCATCCAGGTACTAACCAGGAGCACCGTCCTTCGGATGAGACGTTAAACCGAGGTCCTGACTCTTTGTGGTCATTAAAAATCCCAGGATGTCTTTCGAAAGAGTAGGGGTGTGACCCCGGCATCCTGGCCAAATTCGCCCAGTGGCCTCTGTCCATCATGGCCTCCTAATCATCCCCATATATATATATATACGTATATATACCAATTGGCTTCATCACTCTGTTTCCCCTCCACCAGTAAGCTGGTGTGCGGAGGGCGTTCTGGCGCAATATGGCTGCCGTCGCATCATCCAAGTGGATACTGCAGTGCACATTGGTGGTGGTTGAGGAGATTCCCCCTTCTATGTGATGCGCTTTGAGTGCCTAGAAAAGCGCTATATAAATGTAATGAATTATTATTATTATGTGAGTGTACACAATTTATTTGTTCAAAATTACACAACACAATTTATTTCTTAATGTGTAAAACCTTTTAAATTGTCCCCAAACTACTGAATGCAGTTTATAATAACTATAATAACAGTCTTATTACTGTATATTACTAGTGTTAAAATCGTATAATCTGATAACCGATATTGGTATTTATATACTGTGCCCCACACCTGTGTCTGCAAAATCTATAGAGTTTGTTTGATTGTATTTGGAGGATTGAGGCAAACAACATTTCCATTCACTCATGGCACCATTGTTATCTTTGGGTTTTAACAGGAAGTTGCCTACTGTGTCTCCTCTGCGTCTTTTAAGTCTACCCTTTAGCCATAATGAGAGGTCATATTCACACTGACATTCTGTTAATTGGCTTTGAGACAGACAGGTGAAGGGCACCCCTAGGCTTCTGAAGTACCGCTGAGTGTCATCTTGTTACCCCCCAATGTATCATCTCTGACCTATAGAATCTGTGTCAGCTTACAGCCGCCGTTCCCACCAACTCCTACTCATGTGGTGGAAGCAGTACAGATTTTGTTTTGACAGTTGTTGTGGTTTGATGCATTTTGAGTCTTGCACTTGTTTTTGTTTAATTCACAACTCAGTGCAGTTTAGAGTAAGTGGACACATCTTGTCATTTCTTAATTGGATGTACATGTTATTTGAAGCATTAAGATGTTACTCATGTTGAGCACTATTTTTAGAGGACAAACCCTACACAAGTGCCAGTGGTTTCCAGGTTGCTACAAACATCTGTGCCATATAAGTGTTCAGTCCTCAAACAGGGTAACTGCAGAGGCAATTAAATCCACTCCATCCTGTCCTAATTCACAGAGGAACAACTGCTTAGTCTGAGCATGACAACAGCATTAGGAGAAGGTTGCCATGGATTGATTCATAGGCCCGGCACTTTCCTCTTGTGTCCCTGCTGAAAGCTCTCCCTTAATTCCTTTCCTGTTCCTTGGAGCTGAAGGAATAAGCATGCCTTTGTTTGCTCTCTACCCTTTTTGGTGTATTTTGGTTATGAATGGTGTTGGATGTGGGAAATTATGTCATGTTGCCTCCAGGGAACTCAGCAGTGTTATTTATGCCCCTAAATCTACCATAATAGTACAATGGCGCCAAAATTGTAACTTTCTCTGAAGGATGAGCAAAGTGGTCCCACAATCGAGAATCATTTTTGAAATGCAGTGCTGTTCAAAAGTTTGGGTCAGTAAGATTTTTAAAAAAGTTTTGGAAAGAAGTCTCTTTAATTTGATCAACAATACAGTAAAAACAGTAATATTGTGAAATGTTATATTAGAATAATATAATTAAATATAATTATCATTTAATAACTGATCAATAACTGTTTTCTATTTTGATATGTTTTAAAATGTTATTTATTCTTGTGAGGACAAAGCTGATTATTCAGCATCATTACTCTAGTCTTCAGTGTCACATGATCCTTCAGAAATCATTCTAATATGCTGATTTGCTGCTCAAGAAACATTTATCATTATTAAAGCAGTTGTTGAAAACAGCTGTGCTGCTTAATATTTTTGTGAAAATCGTGAAACTTTTTAGGATTCATTTATAAATCGAAAGTTAAAAAGTTTTTTTTTTTTTTTTTTGTTATAATGAAAACTTTCTTTGTTGAATAAAAGTTCGAAAAATCTCACTAACCCCAAACTTAGTGTGGGCTTGTACTAATATGATGTACATCCATTCACTAAAAGCAGAATAATACAGTCATTAAAAAAAAAAAAAAAGTTAAATTGGTGCACCAAGTGGCTATTTTAAATATGATGACAAAATGTGCCATATCAGTATACAGGAGCTGAAACTTACTGAATGTTGCGTATTATCCTGTGTTCACAGTTTACATATATGATGACAGTCTCTCCTGTAGGCTGTTTTTTTGGCTCCTGTTTATGCAGAGGCCAGGTTTCCCGTAGCGACAAGCCCACAGAGTTATTTTTCCACAGCTTTAAGCTGAGACTGTCAACGGTTTCACACAGTGCTTTAATCTCCTGAAGGATGAAAGACCCCTTGTGGAGGCCGCTGCCCTCGCCCTTCTATCGCTCTCCCAGGCCCTTTCCTCCACTAGCCTTCCTGGACAAATACATCCCTTTCTAACCGCTTTTTTGGCCACTCCGGGTCCTGCCATGTCAACAAGAAGGCCTCCTCTAATGGTCAGCAGCCAGGACCATGCAGGTCTCAATAGGGGAGAGGTGTGGAGCAGATTGTTTCATCCCTGGATCAATCTGCTTCCCGAGTTTCCATGTCCTAGAGATGAGCTATGAATAAACATCCCTCAGCGTGGGTTATGAAATCTGTTTCCACAAACTTTTCTCAACGTGGGCTTTTGTTAATAACTGTGAACTTGAAATATTTAGGGTGTTTTTTGCTAACCCACACGTCTTTTTCTTTCTTGGTTTCTATTTTCAGGTGTCAATCCCCAACACCAGTTGTGCCTGTATGAGAGCCGTTCTGGAGTTTCTCTACTGTGGTGTATTGACACCATGCCCTGAACTGGAGCCAATGGACCTCATAATACTAGCTAACCGCCTCTGTCTTCCCCGCCTTGTAGCTCTAACAGGTAATGGCTCTATGTTTACCTGAAGGCAGACAGTGTACCTTGAAAAAACACTGTATAATGCTGTGTTAATGGGCCTGGGGAGGAAGATCTTGATTTTTTTCACACAAATCTTTGAGCATGAATTTGCAAAGACTGTTGTTTGGATGTGCCAAACACTAATATGCTGGTTAATATAAAAAAAATGATAGCATTTAAACTTGAAAAAGTGAATAAATAAATAAAATAAGTATTATCTACAGCTAAACAATACCTAGTGAAAAAAACCTATACCAAAATGTATTTAATATATATATATATATATATATATATATATATATATATATATATATATATTTTTTTTTTTTTCATATTAGGTATACTACAAATCCATTAACATATTTACTGACATATCGCTTGAGACTTGCTGATATAAATATTATAATTAAACTTTTTTTGGAGTACTTCTTTATTGCACAATGCACATTTATTAATAACAAGCTGAAAATATGTTTTAATATCACTATTAGCAAGGATAGTATGATCCCTGTAATATATTATAATTCTTTAAATGCAAGATATTTAAAGTGTACCTAAAGTATACTTGCAATAGTTCCACTTTAGCACAATCAAATATAATTTAGTTATCCGGAAATAGTGCTGAGGTCCAACTAAGGATATACTTGCATTACGTACAAAATTAGTTGTTCCAATTTAGCAGACTTTAAAGGTTGGATCAGTAGTTTTTGAAATATGCTGTTGGTCAGTGTTGATATTTGAATTCAACCCAAACAAACACGCCCCTTCTTCATTGCTCCGCCTCCAAAACTCACAATCCAATCATACCAGCCCTGCTCTGAGTCGGTCTCAAACCCAGATCCCCTGCAAGTGAGTCGAGTGCACTAACAATGGCGCCAAACACCGCATTCACTAGCAGTCGTCAGTGCGAGTCTCACCAACTGTCCTCTGTTACGCACGCAACCTAAGAGAGGATATCTGTTAATACAGAAGCGCAACAGAATAATGCTTCACGAAAAATAAAGCGCAGATGATGAACGAATGACAAGGAAGCACAAAAAATGTACGTACAGTACACAATAGTAATTACAAACAAGAGTTGGTTGTTAGTTGCCAACAGCACAGCAGCTCCAGACACACAATGACACTCAAACCCAGTGTTGCTCACGTGTGGAGCGAATCAAAGCAATGTCCACATCTGTTTTCAGGCCGTCCCACTTAGCTCTCTCCAGCGCTGGACAGCGTTTCTAATATTAACGCTGGTCCTAAAGCTCTTGCCCAGACATAACCCTTTATTTTCCAGTGATTTCTTCTGAGCTTTTCTCTTTTGTATTGTGTCTCATCTCTATTTCTGCAGTCTTTCTTCAGTTCAAATCTCCCTCATGATCGTTCTCTCTCCTCGATCGTCGTATGCCCCCTAATGCTGATTGGCCGACACGTTTGTTGTTGTGTCGGACTGACTAACATCCAAACAGCATATTTCAAAAACTACTGATCCCACCTTTAAGTATATCAATTTAGTATACTAAAAGTACAATTGCAGGGTATTTATATTCAGTACATAAATATGTAAATGTATTTTGTAGTATACTTAGTATATGTATTTTAAATATATTTTGGTATATTAATTTTTCACTAGGGATAGCATGTATTATTTTTTAAAGGTGAAGGTGAAAAATGTTTCACTGTTGACGATTTTGTTGTTATGGAGTAATTTTCCCCCCGTCAAGCTATTAACCATTAAGCCTCACGGCTGACATATTAACACTTGTTGTGTTGTGTTTTGCCATGGTCTACAGAGCAACATGCCATTGAGGATCTGTTGCTGTTGTCCGTTAAAGGGGTGGACATTGATGGACATGTGCTGGCCTATCTGGAGATGGCTCAGGTAACATTAATAAAGATGAACAAACAAAGCCTTTAATAGAATGTAAAGAACACTGAGTAATGAAGTGGCAATATAACCATTGGAGCACATTACAGAATTACCATTCATTCATTGCAGCCTACTTTATTCTAGTTCAAAGGATGAACACACTTTGCTTTTCAAATGAGTCTCATTGAGAGAAATCCCACTGTGCCAAATTCCCAACTCTGTTTTCTGTCTGCTGTAGTTCCACAATGCCAAACAGCTCTCTGCCTGGTGTCTGCATCACATCTGCACCAACTACAATAGTGTTTGTCGCAAGTTCCCTAAAGACATGAAGACTATGTCTCCTGGTAAGGGTCAAAACATTTTTTTTAAATATATATTATGTATAAATAAATAAAAATTCAGCAAGGACACATTAAATCAATCAAAAATGACAGTAAAGCCATTTATAATGGCAATGCAAAAAAAACTATAAACTAAATCTATCAAAATAAAAATATCAGAATATTTATTACATAAGATGTATATGAATAAAAAAACTATTTGTCACTGGGATAAGAAAAATAAACGTAATTTTTAAACAATAAATCTATAAAAAAAAAAAAAAATGTACACCGTTTGCAAAAAGTTCTTACTTTAATCATAAACCTAGCTAAATTATGTCTCTGAATACAACACATAGTATCTAGCTATGTTGCTTCTCTAGTAAATCTATCTTGTTGCAAGGATCTTTAGATATTTTAACTAAAAAAATAAATACATATACTGGACAAGAAAATGATTTTCATCTTCTCGTTTGTTCTTCCAGAAAATCAGAAACACTTTGAGAAGCATCGCTGGCCCCCTGTTTGGTTCCTGAAGGAGGAAGACCGCTACCTCCGTTCTCAAAAAGAGCGAGAGCGCGAGGAAGAGATTCTACGCAAGCAGCACACCAAACGGGGCTGGTGCTTCTGGAGACATCCATCCTCTTCAGCACCCCACATTTCCTGAGGGTCTGCCTCCATCCATCCATTCAAACCCCCAATACCCCTCACCCTCATTTCAGTCCAGAGGCATGTAGCCAAGCCTGGGGAGCCCTGTTTTTGCTTCAGTGCGTCCGTCCCGACTGCTGGAAGCCGGGGGCCTCTTTGCCTCTGAGCTTTTGTCTTCCCTCCCTGTGCCGGGCCTTAGCGGGATGCCGGCCACAAGAGCTCAGAGCGTGCGTGTCATTAAACGGGAGAAGGCTTGAAGAAAGTCTTAAATCTTTCTCACTCTCAATGTTACGTGTTCTGCTGTGCGAATGCAACAGGTCTTGTCGGAGCATCACATAGGGAACGGCATCATTGCAATGACCTGCTTTCGCCTCTTAAGACTGTTATTATTATACAAGACCACACACACACACACACGCGCGCGCGTGCACACACTCACACCAGCACACCGTCTGAGCGCTGGCGCCCGGGCACACGGATGCTGCATGGTGCTGCTGTTGTGTTGAGCTTTTCTCTGTGAGACCTATTTCTGGGAAAACCGTCATGTCCAATGCCTACAAGCTGAAACATAGCTTAGCTTTGAATACGACTAGCAACTAAAATGGCGGCAGGGATATATACATTGTTGTTGTGGTTGTTAAAATAAAGGGGTGGTAATTGCCCCCGCCTACATTATCAGTAAAAAATTCTTCCATAGCCCCATAATGGCTCTGAATACCAATTGTGTTGCCTACTGAAGAACTATTTTGAGTAGTTCTATTTTGCCTTCTGAGTTTACCCTGCTTTAGAAAGTATTAGCTACTCATTTGTTTGTCAATTCTGGGTCAGATCTTCACATCCTTGTGAAATACACTCGTTTTTGTAGCACTAATTCATTCTTGGCTATTGGCAAACCAAAAAGTACGTTGCGCTGCAAAAAAACATGAGGCCAAGACCTGCACTCGAGAATGTAGAAAAAAAATACAAAAAGCCTTTATTTAAGTTGCGCTGTTTCTTATTCCTTCACCGCTCCCCTCTGTTATTCCTCTGCTCCTCTACCTCTGCAGTTAGCCAAACTGAGGGAGAAACTATCGGTCCACTTCCTGTAGTGTTTGATGCGTTGAAATGTGACGCTTCACTTTGCGCTTTACACATGCAGATAAAATCGGTGCTCGGTCAGGATGAGCCTGCTAAATGTCACAGCTTTCAACCACTAACACATTATCTCCTTAAGGGACGGTCATACTTGAGTTTGAGCAACCACAATTTGATATGTCACACGCTTCTATTCAACGTATAACAAATAATAATAAATCTAAAATGTAAAAATATACAATCTACTCCACTTTCAACGCAGAAAACCTGCAGATTTAATGTTTTGTTCTTTTAATTCATCTGAGATTGTTCATACGCATTCACGCAATACAAATTGGAAGGTTAGAGTTCACCAAATTTGAATTTCCCTTGCATTTCCGGTCTCCAGAATTCACATCAGTATGAAAGGAAGTGAACGGACCGGAAAGTGTAGTGTGACCGTCCCTTTACACAAGTTTACCTGTTTTGACAATCTTCCCGACATAAGCTGTTAATCAAAATGTCAAGCTTTTTCTTCATGCAAACAGGTTTTGTGGTTAAACTGACAGTTTGGTTCCTGCTTTCAGATGTGCACCGTGAAGCGTCATTAGCATCCGTTTGCTAGAATCTGTCTCGACTCCCTTCCATCTGAAAACATGAGTGCCTATTGACCATGTTACACTTTCCCTTCTACATGCAAGTATTTTTCGGTGAAGCATGTTTGTTTTGCCTGTTTCGTGCCTTTTTAACAAAAGAGTTATTAATAGCTACTTTGGGAGTGAATGAGAAATCAGTGACATTTGAAGGTTTCTATGCCACCCTTTTTCTATTTCTGGCTTTCTGGGTTTGCTTCCTCAAGGCTGCACCCTGCTTTTCACACCAGACGAGCTGAAATCATCAACAGCTACAAAAATAGACACGCAGAGCCAATGCGCTCAGACAGGCCGATCTGCACACAAATAATAAATAAATTACAAAAGAAGAGGGAAAACAGAGAGCAGTCGCTTACCATCTATGCTATCTTTTTGACATTCACAGGGAGCCATTATAGATTCATCCCAGTAAGGTCACCGTGATTTTGCCAAGACAGACATGTTCCTGGATCTATTGTTGATCCTGGAACAACATTCCTGTCCAAAAAACAAAACCCTAACCCTACCCATAACTTATCCCTAAAATCAGAGGGGAATGATAGGTGAATAACACTCATTTAGAAGCACCTAAACCTGACATAAACTGTAAACTTGTCCCTCAAATCTGATTGGTTGATGAGAAGGTTGTTCCAGTGGCGTTACTAGAAGCCCCTGAACTGCCTAAAGGGACATGGTGAAGTAAAAAAAAAAAAATGAGATGAAACTTTGCCTTTACTTGGTTAACCTTCTAGTAACGCTACTTGTGCCGTATTTATTGGGGCAGACAAATAAATGAATGTTTAGAGATTCCACTATGCCTAAAGGCTTTATAATTAGTAAAACAATGAATGTATGACCTTACTGTGTATTTGCAGACTGGCTCTGCAATGAATTATGATCACAGCTTTTCTGTCTGCCCCTTGAAGTTAAAAAACATCAGCCCAGATGAGCGCTTCGAGAACACTACAAACATCGGCATGTTTATTGGGATTGAAAGCATTGGTGATTTCGAGCTTGTTAGCGGTTTTTTTTGTTCTTTGACTATTTGCTTTTGCACCTTTTTTTATTTTTTATTTGGTCTGCCTTTGATGTGCATGGCATTGACTGTTTCTAAACCATTGCTTTTTAAAACATTTTGTAGCATAGAACGGTTTCTTCCATTAAACGGTGCTCCTTACGTATTTTGTTCTTTTTCGATCCCTCATACCTGCTATAAGATTTTTATGTCGGTTGCTCAAAGTCTTTGTACCTTGTGCTTTAATCAAATATGCCTTCGTTAACTTTGACTTCGAGGACATGTGATGTATGTTTTTTTGTAATAATTAAGAGTTGTAGTTGATTTCATATAGATAGTATTAGAAAAGGTCAATTTGCCTGTAAAGGGATTGTTCAGCCCAAATGCAAATTCTGTCATTTACTCACCCTCCAAAGTCAGTGACATCCAGAACAGCTCTACTCAACTTTGTGTTGACGAAACAAAATATATTTTGTGTTCCACAGAAGAAAAAAGTTTGGGTCGGCAAGACCGAATTTAGCTTTTTGGGTGAACTGTGTCTTTAAAGTGAGAGATTGGTTCAGGCCCTATACAGTGGCTAACAAAACGAAAGATCCCTGCTAACAGTATAACTGCTTGTTAAATATGCACTTTAGCTTCAAATTTGATACAGACAATGTTCTTTGTCTGTTTACTTTCAATTTAACAATAGTCTTGACTGAGTGACACTGTACAGTATTTATCGGTGCACGTTTACAGGTAAGATGTGCATGGGAATGGTCTAAGCGCTAACTTGTATGTAATTATAAATAACTGTAGCTATATAAGTAGCTTTCATTACTAAGGAATTATCATGCACTTTTGTCTTGATGAAAGAGAAACTATAGCCCTGATTGCAAAAGTCCATCCAGAACTCTCACTGATCATTTAGACTAAATGTTTATCATGTTCATTATTAACAGCACATTATACAGTAGTTCTGTTTATTTATTAGTAGTACAGCAAAGAAACCCAGTTGTAAGAAAAATGAGAGCGCTTGATAATTGTGGTCTATTCTTGAGTTACCGTGCCTTTAATTGAAAAAAAAAAAACATCTTTATGAAGAGAGGTCACTGCCTTTAGTTTTGAATAAGGTAATTGTAGTACACACACACTTCAGCTGACAGCCAGCAGACCACTGTATTGCTCCTTCTGCATGCCTGTGGCCAGCATGTAGCAATACCCTCTGTTCTTTGAGTGCTGTGAAATATTTTGGTTGTGCTGAGCTGAGTGGAAATCGTGCTTGTTGTGAGCAGTGATCATACTGGTTTGGATGAGAGTGAACGTAAACACATGCACATTAACAAAGTCAGAGGCACACTTGCACTGACTTCTACAGTCAGCAGAAGTTTTTTTTTTTTGTTTTTTTTTTTTACCAGGCTAAGGGTAATATTAATTAATGTAGGGCAGGGGGGAATGTGATATGTTACACAATATGCTCTTTGGAATATGATTTTGGTTTGAGTGCATTTTTGTAACATCCTAATACCAGACAGCAGTAATTGCAATGATTGTCTCTGATTTTTGTTTTGTTTTTGTTTTTTTACTGAAAGCTCTCACATTTTGTATTAAACTGGAACAGTTAACCACATCTTAATGCTTGTAAAAAATTAATAATCTGACCTCAGGTCATAGGCAGAGACCACTTCAAGCCCTTGTTAGTTTCTGTGTTTGGTTTTAACAAAAGGGCCGTATTACTTCTCTGAACAACATCTGTCAGTTATAGTGGAGCACTTGCATTTACTTTGGCAGACGCTGTCTCTCTTTCCAATTGTGTGGTGAGGTGAACTGTCTAAGTGGTCCTTGCCATTTTTTTGATTGTCTTCTTGAGGTGAGGTATAGGTGTTCGGCTGACCCTTTCCTTGACCTCTCTTCCTCTTTCAAATCTGTGACTATTTAAAGCTGTTTTGCACTTTGTGGTTTTCTTTTTAACTTCTTGGTTTGATTAATTATTGTACCTGTCCTAAACCGAAAAGTTTCTGATTCTGTAATTATTGTCCTTGTTCTGAACCAGAAAAGCACACAAACACGCACACACACACGCACACACACACAATAAATACTACTAAGGGCTTTTAATATACAAAATCAGAATGTTTTTGCTGCTGTTGCAAAAAAAAAAGAAAAAAAAGAAAAGAAAAGAAAACGTTTTACTGAATCGTTTGTAATATTTTTGAACAACTGTGATTTGTACAAAATGTGATTTGTACAAATCTGTTTCAGTATTATAATGTTTGCTTGGCTTTTAATAAAACTTAACTGAACTCATTTTTTGTGTGTTTTTTATGTTTAATGGCCATAATTAATTTGTTACACTAACATTTTAGCATCTTTTTAATATAAAAATAGTTTTCATATTTAAACTTACTGTTCTCTGGCTTGCATATAAATGGAAACGTATACGCAATTTTATGTGAGATTTGTATCTAAAGCTTAGACAGTCACTACTGTTAAATGTCCTGCAGAGGGAGACATACACGGTTTCATACAAATGTTTTAAGCACTTTCTCTTGTTAAACGCTATATTAAATATATTTTAGCATAAAATACAGCCTTTACATATATAAATTATATTGTAATTCGCACTTTCACAATCTTTTTTTATTTCCAGTTGCTCAGGTTTGTGACAGTAGCTACTGTTATTCATCTGGCTGTTGAGTTGACTTCAGAATGCTAAATAGCTGAGACATCAAAAAGTTACTTCCTTCCCCAAGTCCATCAAATGCCTAGACCGAATCAGATCAAAATCTCTGTCTCTAGAGGAGATTAATAAAACCGTTGTAGTATAAGGTTTTTGGTTGTCATACAATACAAACAGTCATGTTTTAGATTTCAGTAACATTTACAAATGAGGTTCAATTAGTTAATTAGTTAACATGAACTAACATTGAACAATTATCCTACATGATTTAATCATCTTAGTTAAAGCTCCTGTAGGTAACTTTTGAAAACATGTATTTGCTAAA